TGCTGAACCTGATACTTGGAAGCAAGCAAGAAATAGTCAGGACTGTGGAGGCTCAAGGCAATCCTGGCTGCAGTGATCATGAAATGGTGTAGTTCAAGATCCTGACAGAAGGGAAATAGGCAAGTTGCAGGATTACAGTTCCCTGATGTTCAGGAGAGCAGATTTTAGCCTCTCCAGGTATCTGTCTGAAAGAATCCTAGGGAAGATGGTCCTGGAAAGAATAAGAGAGCAGGAGAGCTGGTTGATTTTCAAGGATCACCTTCTCCAGCCTCAAGAATGGCCCATGCCAACAAGCAGCAAATCAAGCAAAGATGGCAGCAGAGCTGTATGGATGAAGAAGTTCCTGAGTAAACACCAGGCTGGTTTGGTTTAGTGGGTTCTTCAGTAGTGGGGGAGGGCTCCTGTAAGAAGCTGAAAAGCTCTTCCAGCTCCAAACCAGCTGGCTAAGGCCAAGTCGGTAGAGAGACAATGGCTATGCCACTGCAATTAACATCTGAAAGAACAGAAAAAAATAAAAATATTTGAGAGCAGAGAGAGAAAGGCAGTAGAGCTGAGAAGCACTGCTGGAGTGGACATCATGAGGTTGGTGAGGAAGAAGAGGGAATAAGGTGCCTGTGGCTCTGTGGGAAGCCCAGGCTGGAGCAGCTTGCTTCTGAGGGACTGCACCTCGTGGGAAGGACTCATGAAGGAGAGGTTCATGGAGGACTCTCTCCCATGGGAGAGACCCCGTAGGGAAGCAGAGAAGGACCGTAAGGAATCCTTCTCCCTGAGAAGGAAGGAGCAGCAGGAACCACCAGCCTGTGAAGTGACTCTAAACCCCATCCCCTGTCCCCCTGTGCCGCTGGGGGGAAGGAGGGAGAGAAACCGGGAACAAAGTGATTTGGGCTCGGGAAGAAGGAAGGGGTGGGGTAACATATGCAAGCCCTGCTCTGTGTGTGTCTGTGTCCTGTGTGTGTTTGATTAGTGTGAAATCAAATTATTATTTTTTCTCTAAGTTGAGTCTATTTTGCTCAGGACCTTACTCAGTGAAGAACCCTCCTTGTCCTTTGCCTCAACCCACAAGCTTCTAGTTGGCCTTTGTCCTCCCCATCCCACAGAGAGTGTGTGCGCATGGGGTGAGCTAGCAGCCATGTGGCTGGTATTTTGTGGTCAGTTAAGCCTAAGCCAACACAAAACACAAACATCAAAAGGAAGTATACAGGAGGTGGAAGTAGACTCAGGTGATCCAGGAGCAACACAGAATCACTGTCCACATGTACAGAGTTAGGAAAGGGTTAGGAAAATAAAAGCAAAGGATGTGAAAAACAGCGAGAAGGACTTTTGCATGTCCATCTGCAGCACAAAGTCTGGGGAAAATAAAGTACCTTCTACAGAATATGGCAGAGGACATATTCAGTGACAATAACAAATGGAGAAAGTTGAGGAACTCAGTGTCTTCTTCACCTTCTTTTTCGTTATTAAGATTTGCACCAAGGAATCAAAAGCTTTTAAACATGTTGGGAAGTCTGGAACAATGAAGACTTACTCAAGGTAGAGAAAGATCAGTTTGGCTTACATTTAAATAAATTTAACAGACAAAAGCCCATGGGTCTTGGTGAGATGCAGTTACAAGTACAGGGGGAGTTGGCAGATATTGTGAGGATACTCTTGATAATCTTTGAAAGGTCAAGTCAGCCTGGGAGGTTCTCAGGGACTGGGAAGAAGAAAAAAAATGTTACTCTAACTTCAAGGGCAAGAAGGGGAATCCAGCGAACTATGGAGTAGCAAGCTTCACCTCAATTCCTGTAAAGATGATGGAATGAAATCTTAAAACCATTTATGACTGGATTAAGGTTAAGAATGCAATTGGAACTAGTTGGGACAATCATGCCTGACCAACTTGATGGCCTCCTACAACTAAGTGGCTAGATGAGTGGCTAGATGATCTAACTTGCTAGATGAGGAAGGAGCAGTCAATATTTTTTGTTTTGTGGAGACTTTTGAACTGTCTCCTATAACACCCCATAGGCAAACTGATGAGTTCTGGCCTAGATAAACAGACAGTGAGATGGAGTGAAAACTGGCTGAACTGCCAGGCCAAAGAGTACACAAAATTCAGAAGCCAGCCACTGCTGCTTGTCTTTACTCAGCCCATACCTGGACCTAAACTGAAGCAGATTGCTCCCTCACCTGTCAACCTCTCCCCAGCCCAGAAGAGGAATCAGGGAGAGGAGACAAGCCCCATTGGTTGAAATATAAACAGATTTAACGAAATAACAAAACTAAGACAAACACTAACATATATAAGCTTACACTCAGCCTAGCCCTCAGGAGCAGCAGAGAGAACAGCAGACCAAGAGAGCAGACCCCTCTACCCTCAGCACACTCCCCTCCTTTCATAATGAGCATGAGGTAAGTGGTGTGGGGTACACCTGCCAGTCAGCTGTGGCCAGCTGCTCTGACTTGAGCTCCCAGCTGACTCAGGGATACAATTGGCCTGCCCTACATGCCTGGCCACTGATTCTGTCCCAGTGAAACCAGGGCAGTGGTGTGCCCCAGTGACTGATCTTGGGGCCAACGTTGTTTAACATCTTCATTAATGACCCTCAGCAATTCTGCTGATAATAGACAACTGAGGAGTGGCTGGTACACCAGAGGGTTGTGCTGCCATCCAGAGGGATCTCATCAGGCTGGAGGAATTAGTTAACAGGAATGTCATGCTATTCATGTAAAACCCTGCACCTGGGGAAGAACAACTCCAGGCACCAGTACAGACTGGAGGCCACCCAGACAGAAAGCTGCTTGGCAGAAAGGACCTAGGGGTCCTGGTGGACAGCAAGGAGAACATGAATCAGCAATGCACCCTTAAAGCAAAGGTGTCCAACAGCAACCTAGGCTGTGCTAGGAAGAGAGTTATCAGCAGGTTGAGGAAGGGGAATCTGTTGCATTGAGAAACATCTGGAGTTTTGCATGTAATTCTGGGCTCCCTGGTACAAGAGAGAGATGGACATCCTGGAACAAGTCCAGTGAAGGACCACAAAGGTGGTTAACAGGAACTGAAGCATCTGTCATAAGAGGAAAGG